GATGGAGATAGGATGGGATGGGACTGATAGAGCTTGGCTCTTCGCTGTGGGACCTGGCAACAGGACAAGAGGAACAGGCAGGAAACTGATGCCCAGGAAGTTCCACCTGGACAGGAGGAAGAACTTCCACCCTATGCAGTGACTGAGCCCTGGAACAGATTGTCCAGAGAGGGTGTGGAGCCTCCCTCACTGGAGATATTCCACAATGGTCTGGACACAATCCTGTGCCATGTGCTCTGGGATAACCCTGTTTGAGCACGGAGGTGAGACCAGATGAGCCACTGTGGTCCCTTCCAGCCTGACTCATTCTGGGATGGGGATGGAGATAGTGTGGGGTCGGGCTGTAGATGGGATGGGATGGGGCTGTACATGGGATGGGATGGGGCTGTACATGGGATGGGATGGGGCTGTACATGGGATGGGATGGGGCTGTACATGGGATGGGATGGGGCTGTACATGGGATGGGATGGGGCTGTACATGGGATGGGATGGGGCTGTACATGGGATGGGATGGGGCTGTACATGGGATGGGATGGGGCTGTACATGGGATGGGATGGGGCTGTACATGGGATGGGATGGGGCTGTACATGGGATGGGATGGGGCTGTACATGGGATGGGATGGGGCTGTACATGGGATGGGATGGGGCTGTACATGGGATGGGATGGGGCTGTAGATGGAATGGGATGGGGCTGTAGATGGGATGAGGCTGTAGATGGGGTGGGGCTGTAGATGGGCTGGGGCTGTAGATGGGCTGGGATGGGGCTGTAGATGGGATGGGGCTGTAGATGGGATGACGCGCTCCTGAGGGACAACTCCCGCCGCCTCCGCCGCATCCAGCGCCAGCTCCGCCGCTGCCGCTGCGGGGGCAACCGCACCGGCACCGGGACCGGCACCGCCCGGGAGCGGACACAGGTAACCGCGACGGGGTCGGGGCCCAGGGAACGGGGACGGGCTCGCACGGGGACAGGATGGGCCCGGGGGACGGGGATGCCACGCGGGGAATGGGAACTGGCTCCATGGAATGAGGAAAGGAACGGGCACAGGGGAGTGGGGATCCGGCTGAGCCCACGGGGACGGGGACGAGCTCTGAGGAATGGGGACGGGGACATGCCAGCGGTGGCAGGGACAAGTTCTGGGTAACGGGATGGGGATGAGCCCGTGGTGGCAGGAATGGGCCCATGCTAATGGGGATGAGTCCCAGGGAACAGGGATGTGCCCCCAGTGACAGGGATGGGGTGTAGGTAATGGGGACAAGCCCCAGATAACAGGAACATGCCAGCGGTGACAAACGGGGACAAGCGCCAGCTAATGGGAATGTGCCAAAGATGGACAGGGATAGCCGTGTCCCAACTCACAGGGATGTGCCCAGGGTGACAGGGACAGGCCACAGGTGTCAGAGATGTGCCCAAAGCAGTGGGAAAGTGCCCCAGGTGACCGTGTGGCCATGGGAAGTGCTGTTGGCTCTCGGGAGCTGCACAGAGCCAGATGGACACGGCTCGTCTGGTGCTTGTCCCTGTTCCCAGGGAAGAGGGGGAGCAGAACACCCACCCCAAGTGTTTCAGCCATGTTGGGCCTTACTGGAGTAATGTGGGGTGGTGCCACTGTCCTGCTCCCACCTGAGGGGTCACTGCTCACCTGGCTGCCAGGATGGATCCTGGGAATCTGCCCCTGCTCTTGGAGGAACAGCTGAGCCTTGCTGGGATGTCTGGGGATGTTTCCCCTGACATGGCTCTGTCCATAGGAGCTCCGGACCCCCAGGGGCTCGGGGAGGGGCTCAGTGGGGACCCCCAGCTGGAGCCTCCTGTACTTCCAGGTGCCAGCGGCGGGCGAGGGTGAGGAGGCCGCTCTGCCGGAGCAGGAGCTGGGGAGCGTGGGCAGCCGGGAGCTCCGTGGGATCGCCAGGAGAGGGAATTACGAGGCCATGGTCCCTCTCGGTGAGGATCACTCAGATCATGTCAGAAGCATCATCATCCCTGGGCTGATGCAGCTTCCAAACCTTCCCCACGTGGAACATGGGGGGATTCCAGGTGACATGTCCTGCAGCTGGCGTTCCTGCACTGTTTTTTCCTGGGATATGGGCTGTACATGGATCATCCTGCAGGGATTTTCTGCAGAGGGTTCTACATTTTAGTACTCTTTAATTTTGGGCTGAAATTTTAGAGCTTGGGTGTCCATCAGGCACTTCCTGGGATTAGCAAAAATCCCGTGCCTGGTTCGGCTGCCTGTGTGATCAGATGTCCTGGAATTCCAGGACCCCACTTTGGCTGGTCCCCACTGTCAGCAGCTCATCCCATTGCTGTCTCCTTCCCAGGGTCTGAGGATGCTGGTTCCAAACCTGCACTGCTGCCACCAGCCGAGGACAGGGAGGATCCAGGGAGCCCCGGGCTGCCAGAGAAGGGTGCGGTGCCAGGACAGCTTGGTGACAGTGAGTGACAGCGAGGGGGGCTGAGGATGGGCACTGACAACCTGCCCAGATTGGGCAGTGTTCTTAAGGATGGAAAATGGGAAAACCTGGGGCAAGGCTCAGTGATGGTGGCTCTGGAGCAGGGTACCTGTGGGTGGATCTCCCTCATGCTTTGGGGAGGCTTTGCTTTGATCCTTTTCCCTGGATTCACATACTTAAACTCTGCCATTCCTGACGGGGTTCTTTCCAGGATGGAGCACTCTGCACCTCAGCTTTGCCTTCACATTCCCTCTGTTTTTTGGTTTTTTTTGGTGAGGATTGCATTGTCAGTCCATAGTGTCATTGAGTCCAGCATGCCCAGGGCAGTGGTGAAGTCTCCATTCCCGGAAGGACTTAAAAGCTGTGTGGATGTGGCAGCTGGGGACATGGGACAGTGGTGGCCTTGGCAGTGCTTAGTTGATGATTGGACTTGATGATGTTGAAGGGCTTTGCAAACCTCCCTAATTCCGTGATTCCATGATGTCCCTGAGGTCCAACAAGCTGCCCAGACAGCCCCCCTGCACCTCATCTCCTCCTGGGAATCCTTTCCTGCTCCCTTTTGTTCTTTGCCAGTTCCTCTCACCTCTGCTCCCGCTCCCACTCTGGAGCTGCAGGCACGGGAGGCCTTCCCTTCCCGGGAATGAACTGCGGTCTCTCCACAGGTGAGATGATCGTGATCAAGACGGAAGAGCAGCAGCCGCAGGAGGACGCAGCCGAGCTCCTGGCACTGCCGATGGTGCCGGCGGTCAGGCTGGACGAGGAGGTTCCCCTCAGCCAGGAGCAGCCGGTTTCCTGGGACAGCCACGGCGTGGCCGGGCCGAAAGCGGCCGGAGAGGGCTTGGGGGAATTCTGCCTGGGCGAATTCAAGCCGGTGGTGGTGCCGGCGGAGGCTCACCCTGCCCCGGGCCTGCCCTTCCCCACGGAGCACGCGCTGGGCGCGGGCACGGAGCAGCCGTTCGCGCTCGCCCAGGGAATGCCGCCGGGAGAAGACCCCGCGGCCGAGGTGGCGTCGCCGCAGCCCGGCTGGGAGCAGCAGAGTCCCCAGGACGATCCCCGGGCTCTGCCGCCGGGCTGGAAGAGCGTCCGGCTGACGCGGAACCTCCTGGCGCGGCAGCAGAGCCGGGAGAGGAAGAGCAACGGCTCCTTCATCTGCACGTCCTGCGGGAAGAGCCTGGCCCACCACGCCGCGCTGCTGCGGCACCAGCGCCTGCACACGGGCGAGCGGCCCTTCCAGTGCCCGGCCTGCGGCAAGAGCTTCAACGAGAAGTCCAACCTCAACAAGCACTACCGGATCCACACCGGGGAGCGGCCGTACCGCTGCCCCGCCTGCGGCAAGGGCTTCGTGCAGAAGCACCACCTGCAGAAGCACCAGCGCATCCACGGGCCGCAGCTGCGCGGCGCGTGGCCGGGCCGGGCTGCGCGGGGCGGCGGCGCCGCCGGGGAGCGGCTGTACCGCTGCATCGAGTGCGCCGAGAGCTTCCCCCAGAAAGCGTCGCTGGAGGAGCACCAGCGCCGGCACACCCAGCAGCGGCCCTTCCAGTGCCACGGCTGCACCAAGAGCTTCCGGCACCGGCAGTCGCTGAACCACCACCAGAAGGTGCACGCCGTGGCCACCTCTCCGGCCGGCAGCTTGCCGGGACACGAGCCGGAGCTGGAGCCCTGCGAGGCTCTGAGCCAGGACAATCGGTAGCCAGAGGGCTGGAGAAGGGAAGGGACGGTGGTTCTTCAGCCTGGGACACGCCGGGCAGCTGGGACTTGTGGCAGCACCGGGAGTTTGTGCACGATGCTGTGGGACCACCCGGGTCTCGGGAGGAGGAGCGAAGAGGAGGGAGCCTGCTGTGCTGTTCGGCAGGGAAGGGCCCAGGGTGGGATGGGACTGGCCACGAGGCAGCAGAGGAGGGTGAGTGACTGGAGCTGAGCCGGCTGTGCCGCTGCCCTGTGGATTCAGCAGAGGAGGGGCCCTTTCGGATCCCGTGGTGGAACTCGGGTTGTTTGAACACCAGCACTGTGCAGGGAGGGGGGCTGGGAGCGGTCAGTGGCCTGGGGGCAGCTGATAGCCCCGAGAAGGCTGTGGGGGCTGGGTGGGAAGAGAATCAGATAAAAGACTGAGCTGACTGGTCTCCTGTTGTGCTCTGGGGCACCTGGGGGGGGTGACATCCCTGGCTCAACGGGGATGGGGCCATCAGGGGAGGAATGCAGAGCTACCTGCTGGGAATGTGTGATGGGAATGTGGAGCAGTCACACAGGAATCCCCCACAGGATTCTCAGTAGGATCTGGGCACTCTGGGACTCCCTGGCAGTGCTGAGGGACATGTCCCACCCATGGTGGCCAGGCCCATTCCATCCCCTGCCCTTCCCTGCTTCCCTCACCGCTCATCCTTCCTGGCTGGCATTCCACAGCTCTCCCAGTGGTCTGGGGGCTCTGGAGCTGCTGGCACTGACTCCCAAAACCCTCCTGCTGAGAGCTGTCCTGGCTGATCCCAGTTCTGTGCCCACAGGCACCAGCACAGCCCCCAAAGCAGCCAGACATAGAGACAAATACTTTATTGATTCCACAGCCTGAGAAAGGGATCGGGAATGTCGCAGGAAATGCTGCTCCTGGTTACAGCAGATTTAGAAATGCCAGGCTGGGGCTGCTCGCCCTCCTGCTGGCCTTCAGCACTGGCAAACCAGCTCAGCCATGCCCCTAGGATCGACTGGGGAGCACTGGCATCTCTACCTGGGCAGGGATAACCAGCCACTGGCTCACTGCCAGATCCATGGCTCCTGCTGCAGGGAATGCTCCACACTGCAATCCCAGGGGCAGGAAGTGTGAGACACCAGCCCAGAGGAGCAGTGGGATGTCGTGTGTATTCCTGTGGAGCAGCTCAGATGCTGCTGTCCATCCCATGGAGCAGGAGGTGGCTGAGGGTCATACCTGGATGTATGCACAGGCATTCCCTCAGCTCCCAAAGCTTCCCACAGCAGCACCATCACACCTTGGGAGTGACTTGGAATGAAAGATGGGAAAAGCCTACCAGTGCTCACTGCTCAGAGAGGAACAGAGATCTCAGGATATCAAATAATTACCTCAAACAACTCAAACCAAAAAAAAAAAAAAAGGAAAACTAAATGCAAGAGTCCCAACAGCTGCTCCACCGTGTCCGTGTGGCGCTGGCTCCGGGCGGGAGGTTCTCCCTGTGCACAGCCAGCATGTGGAAGGCACGTGGGGCTCTGGCCAAGGACACTGCTCTGGTGGCTCCAGGGGACACTGGGGCAGCGCCAGGCCTGGCTTCCACTGGCTGCCTCTGGGCAGGTCCCCTCTCCCTGACTGAGGTAGCTGCAGAACTGTTTTCCCATAGGATTCATTATGGTGGGATTTTGGGCAAAAGGGGACGAGCTGTGGTTGGGAGAGTGGGAGTTTCCTCTAGAGCTGAGGGGCTGCTCCGTGCAGGCGGATCCACAAGGATTGGGGTGCTGCTGCAGCATGGGGCTGGCTGACCCGTCAAGTATTCCAAAAATCATTCTGCACCTGTGCAGGATAGTCCTGAGAGTGCCTGTGGCCTTCCTCACGGACCTGCCGGGATCCCCGGAATATGCCAGCACAGAATGTTGGGGTTTGGTTTGTCCTATGGATCTTCCAGTGCAAAGCTCCAGTGTTCCCAGCCTGCTGAAGGGGCTGTTGGCGGATCTCCTCCCCAGGCTGGGGGTGACAAGGGTGGCCAGGACACGGTGGGATCTCAGAGATGTCACTCACCATCTGGTGTCTCAGTCAGGATGCTTGTTCCATGGAGCAAAGGGCTGCATGGGAATGCTGCCAGCTCCATTCCCTTCTCCCTGCCCTCTTCAGTTGTGTTTCTGAATGCAAGGAGTCAGCTCCAACATCAAGGAATGGGAAAGCTCTGCTCCTGTATGACCAGGATTCACCTGGTCATCTCCCAGGAATGTCAGCTTGGGGAAATTCCAAGTATCGGCCAACAGGAACAAGTCAGTGGAATGGTGAAGCATTATGGATCACTGGAGGCTTCTGCAATTTGTTCTCTATTGCGGTCACCAAGCTTCCCACTCTTTCTACAACCCGGGAAGCTCCTAAAACACAGCAGATTCCCATTCTTGGTGTCCCACCAGGTGCAAACCCAACAAGCAGCTTCCTTCCAGGGACACGCACGGCTCAGATCTGTCCCGGGGTCTGTCATCCGTCATTTCTCTGTCATCTCCGAAACCACTGCCCTGGATCCCAGCTGGACCACGGGCTGCACAGCTTTCCTGATGCAGTCAGGGAGTGGGGAGCCTTTGTCTGGGAGCCCCACTGGCACTGCCTCCAACAGCAGCACACTGGGCAGGCTCGCTTTTGCAGCCTCAGGGCTCCCATTCTCTTGGGAAGGGCTCCTCTCGGCCTCGGGAGCTTGGTGCTGCAGGGATGCCGGGATAGCAGCAGGACACTGGGCCTCGGCCTTCCGCTGGAGTGCGTCCACAGCCCTCTCGTGGATCTTCTTGTGGCGCAGGAGGTGATTGCTGCGGGTGAAGCACTTATTGCAGGAGCTGCAGCAGTAGGGCCGGTCCCGCTTGTGGGTCTGGAGGTGCCGCCGCATCGACGTGGACCAGGCCAGGAACTTCTTGCAGTGGGGGCACTTCTGCCTGGAATTGGGCGCCTGCACCATCCCTGTGCCAGACAGGCCCTCTCTGTCCGGCTCCTCCTTGGGCTGGCTCAGCCACGTCCCCCCGGCGTGGCCGCCGTCGCCGCACACGTCCCTGCGCGGGCGGACGCGCAGCTCGGGGTGGACGTTGCCCCAGACCTTGGCCCCGAAGGCTCTGTCCTTGACGTGGATGCTGCGGTGAAGGTCCAGGTGCCGTTTGGTGCTGAAGCCGATCTCGCACACGGGGCACTCGTAGGGCCCCTCCTTGGCGTGGCTGCGCTGGTGGATGATGAGGTTGATCTTGAGGCGGAAGCGCTTCCCGCACTCCGTGCAGGGATGGGACCATTCCCGCACGTACCCGCGCCGGCAGTTGCCCATCAGGAGGTTGCTGGCCTCGCACCGGTTCGGCTTTTTCTTGATCTTGGCTTTCACCAGCTCATTTTTGGGACACTTCTGGATCTCTGAGTCGGGAGAGGGTGTGGATTCCTCTGCCGGCAGCTCAAGCTCCTCTTCCTTCACCTTGATGTCCTCAAGAGAAGCCCCTTCACATAGTGTTTCATCTTCCATGGATAAGGCTTCCTCTGGAACAGAGAAACACCATGTTGGTGTCAGCACCAGTGTGACACAGGACCAGGGCCCCACCCTGTGCTGGCACTGCCAGGGCATCTCCAGTTCCAGGGGCAGCTCTGGGCTTCTCCTGACATGAAAGACATTGAGGGGTTGGAGCATGTCCAGAGCTGGGGAAGAGTCTGGAGCCCCAGGAGGGGCTGAGTGAGCTGGGAAAGGGGCTCAGCCTGGAGAAAAGGAGGTTCAGGGGGACCTTGTGGCTCTGCACAATTCCTGACAGGAGCAGGGTGGGCTTTGCTGCCAGGGTATAGGGACAGGGCAAGGGGAAACAGCCTCAGGGCTGGGCTAGGGAAGGTTCAGGTTGGATACTGGGAAAATTCCTTCCCCAGAAGTGTTGTCCATCCATAGCACAGTGGCCCAGGGCAGAGATGGAGTCCAGGCTGAGCCCTCTGTGGGTGCCATCGGGACCCCACCTCTAAACCCACAGGATGTTGCAGGAAAAAATAAAAGGAACCCCTGAAGCTTCATTTTCCCTCCCTATTTCAAGCCCTCTCCCTGCCCTCTTCAGTTGTGTTTCTGAATGCAAGGAGTCAGCTCCAACATCAAGGAAAGCTCTGCTCCTGTATGACCAGGATTCACCTGGTCATCTCCCAGGAATGTCAGCTTGGGGAAATTCCAAGTATCGGCCAACAGGAACAAGTCAGTGGAATGGTGAAGCATTATGGATCACTGGAGGCTTCTGCAATTTGTTCTCTATTGCGGTCACCAAGCTTCCCACTCTTTCTACAACCCGGGAAGCTCCTAAAACACAGCAGATTCCCATTCTTGGTGTCCCACCAGGTGCAAACCCAACAAGCAGCTTCCTTCCAGGGACACGCACGGCTCAGATCTGTCCCGGGGTCTGTCATCCGTCATTTCTCTGTCATCTCCGAAACCACTGCCCTGGATCCCAGCTGGACCACGGGCTGCACAGCTTTCCTGATGCAGTCAGGGAGTGGGGAGCCTTTGTCTGGGAGCCCCACTGGCACTGCCTCCAACAGCAGCACACTGGGCAGGCTCGCTTTTGCAGCCTCAGGGCTCCCATTCTCTTGGGAAGGGCTCCTCTCGGCCTCGGGAGCTTGGTGCTGCAGGGATGCCGGGATAGCAGCAGGACACTGGGCCTCGGCCTTCCGCTGGAGTGCGTCCACAGCCCTCTCGTGGATCTTCTTGTGGCGTAGGAGGTGATTGCTGCGGGTGAAGCACTTATTGCAGGAGCTGCAGCAGTAGGGCCGGTCCCGCTTGTGGGTCTGGAGGTGCCGCCGCATCGACGTGGACCAGGCCAGGAACTTCTTGCAGTGGGGGCACTTCTGCCTGGAATTGGGCGCCTGCACCATCCCTGTGCCAGACAGGCCCTCTCTGTCCGGCTCCTCCTTGGGCTGGCTCAGCCACGTCCCCCCGGCGTGGCCGCCGTCGCCGCACACGTCCCTGCGCGGGCGGACGCGCAGCTCGGGGTGGACGTTGCCCCAGACCTTGGCCCCGAAGGCTCTGTCCTTGACGTGGATGCTGCGGTGAAGGTCCAGGTGCCGTTTGGTGCTGAAGCCGATCTCGCACACGGGGCACTCGTAGGGCCCCTCCTTGGCGTGGCTGCGCTGGTGGATGATGAGGTTGATCTTGAGGCGGAAGCGCTTCCCGCACTCCGTGCAGGGATGGGACCATTCCCGCACGTACCCGCGCCGGCAGTTGCCCATCAGGAGGTTGCTGGCCTCGCACCGGTTCGGCTTTTTCTTGATCTTGGCTTTCACCAGCTCATTTTTGGGACACTTCTGGATCTCTGAGTCGGGAGAGGGTGTGGATTCCTCTGCCGGCAGCTCAAGCTCCTCTTCCTTCACCTTGATGTCCTCAAGAGAAGCCCCTTCACATAGTGTTTCATCTTCCATGGATAAGGCTTCCTCTGGAACAGAGAAACACCATGTTGGTGTCAGCACCAGTGTGACACAGGACCAGGGCCCCACCCTGTGCTGGCACTGCCAGGGCATCTCCAGTTCCAGGGGCAGCTCTGGGCTTCTCCTGACATGAAAGACATTGAGGGGTTGGAGCATGTCCAGAGCTGGGGAAGAGTCTGGAGCCCCAGGAGGGGCTGAGTGAGCTGGGAAAGGGGCTCAGCCTGGAGAAAAGGAGGTTCAGGGGGACCTTGTGGCTCTGCACAATTCCTGACAGGAGCAGGGTGGGCTTTGCTGCCAGGGTATAGGGACAGGGCAAGGGGAAACAGCCTCAGGGCTGGGCTAGGGAAGGTTCAGGTTGGATACTGGGAAAATTCCTTCCCCAGAAGTGTTGTCCATCCATAGCACAGTGACCCAGGGCAGGGATGGAGTGCCCATCCCTGGAGGGCTCCCAGGCTGAGCCCTCCGTGGGTGCCATCGGGACCCCACCTCTAAACCCACAGGATGTTGCAGGAAAAAATAAAAGGAACCCCTGAAGCTTCATTTTCCCTCCCTATTTCAAGCCCATCAGCTCTGGAAGCTGCTTCCCACACTCTGCCAGGCCCCATGTCCCCAGCACAGGGTGACTCACCAGTGTCAGGCTCTCCCGGGTCCTCCTCCATCTCCACGTCCTCCTCTGCCACTGTTCCCAGCTGATGCTCCCCCAGGGACATCACGTTCATCATCAGGATGGGGACCTCTGTTTGCAGGGAACAGGGATTTGAAAGACCCATGGAGGCCTCCCAGGTCTCTACTCCAGCATTATGAGCCAGGGATTGCTGGGAGTGTGTGGAAGAGCTGGAGAAAGCTGCGGCTCAAGAGCCAGGATGTGGATCAGCTATCAGGAAAATTCCTTCTGGAAAGGGCTGTCCAGCCCAGGAACAGGCAGTGGTGGAGTCCCTGCTCCTACAGGGATTTAAAAGCCGTGTGGATGTGGCACCTGGGGACATGGGGCCTTGGCAGTGCTGGGGGACAGTTGGACCCAATGGTCTCAGAGGGCTTTTCCAACCCCAGCGATTCTGTGGAAAGGCTGGAACGTGTCAGGAGGAACTGGAGTGAAGCCACACGTGGGCAAAAAGCAGAGGGAGGGCTGGGAGGGAAGGACACCAAGGTGCCACCTCAGAGAGCAGCCTCACCCCACCATCTCCACAGGCTGCATTCCCATATCCAGACCCTCTTCCAGTGTGCCGTGACATCCCAAGGCTCCCTGGCAATGCCTCTCCAAGCACCAGGGCCATGCACCTCTGCCCTGGACTCTGCCAGAGCCCCAGAGAGCTGGGAAAGGGGAAGCACATCCTCCCTGGCACCCCTGGAACTCACCTGGGCCGGCTGCCATGGGCATGGCATCCTCTCCCGAAGCCTCTTCCTGCTGCTCCATCTCTCCTGGTGTCTGTGGGGGCTTCTGATTGTTGGGGACACCTGTCTGGAGGGGATTCTGACTGTCCCCAGTCTGTGTCTGAGGCAGTGTCTGGCTGTCCCCTTTGTCTGCCTGTGGGGACTTGGGGCTGTTCCCAGTCTGTGCCTGTGGGGGTTTTGGGCTGTTCCCACTCTGTGTCCTTGGGGACTTTGGGCTGTTCCCATTCTGTGTCCTTGGGGACTTTGGGCTGTTCCCACTCCGTGTCCATGGGGACTCTGGGCTGTCCCCAGTCTGTGTCTGTAGGGTTTTCTGGCTGTTCCCACTTCGTGTCCATGAGGATTTTGGGCTGTCCCCAGTCTGTGTCTGTGGGGGGTTCTGGCTGTCCCCAGCCTGTATTTGTGGGGTTTTCTGGCTGTTCCCACTCCGTGTCCATGGGCACTTTTGGCTGTTCCCACTCTGTGCCCATGGGCACTTTGGGCTGTTCCCACTCCGTGTCCATGAGGATTTTGGGCTGTCCCCAGTCTGTATCTGTGGGGTTTTCTGGCTGTTCCCACTCCGAGTCCGTGGGGATTTCGGGCTGTTCCCAATCTGTGTCTCTGGGGGTTCCTGGCTGTCCCCAGTCTGTATCTGTGGGGTTTTCTGGCTGTCCCCATTCTGTGTCCATGAGGGCTCGGGACCCTTTTTGTTGCTGGGCTCTTCATCCCTCTCGAGGCAGGTCCGGCCGCTGGGCTTGGACTCGGCACCGTCTGTTCCCAGGGCACAGAACAGGGGCTTTGTTAGGATTTAACTGCACCTTTATCCTGCCAGATTCCCAAAGTGAGCCTTGTCCCCTCTCCCAGCCCCGGCAGAGACACAAACACCTCCAACCCCGGTGGCAGAGCTGCCTCCTTGGCCCCATGGCAGGATCCACACAGGAGAGAACATGAACCCCAAAGGAGATGTCCCTCTGTGTCCCTTTTCCTCTCCCCAAACTCCCACCTGGGCTCCAGGTGAGTTTTCCCATGGGACAGCACCTGCCCAGTTTTTCCTGGGCTGCCTTTAACCTTCCCAGCTCCTCAATTCTGCAGGAAAGAGCACGGCTCTTCCCACATCTCCGCTGCTCCCAGCTCTGTCTGGGTCTGTCCTTTTCCAGCACCTTCCACCTTCCTGCCCAGCCCTCTCACTCTAAATCCATGCCCCAAGGCTCCCCAGACTCCTCTGTTCCCCCAGGACAAACCAAGCAGCTCCAGCCTCCTCCTCCCAGCTCCTCACTTCCCAGCACGTTTCCTGTCCCTGCACAGCAGGCAGGAATGTCTCTGGAAGCCCCAGTCTTACAGGAGGCCTCTCCCACTGCTCCAGACCCTCCTGCAAGGCTTTGACTGCTTTTCTCCATGGGATTCATGGGGTTCATCCCACCAGGCACAACCACTCCTCTTGGAATGAAGATTCACAGAGCTCTGGGGTGCTTCAGTCCATGGAGCGAGCCCTTCCTTCCTCAGGAAGGGGAGATCTCCAGGAAAAGCCACCTCCTCTTGGCACCCACCTGGGGCAGCTTCCATGGGGCTTCCATCTCCTCCAGCCTCGTCTGCCTTGTCCCTCTCTTCTGCTGCCCGGAGGGGCTCCTGACCGTCCCCAGTCTGTGTCCATGGGGGCTCCTGACCCTCTCTGTCACTGAGCTCTTCATCCCTCTCCATCTGGGACAGGATGTCGGGCTTGGACACGGCGTAGTCTGGTCGTGGGGCAGAGGATGGGGGGTTGATTAGGATTTGGCTGTGTCTTTAGTCGGCACATTCCAACACTGACCCTCGTCCCCTATCCCGGTCCTGGTGGAGACACAAACACCTCATCCCTGCTCCAAACACTTCCTTGGTCCCAAGGCAAGATCCACCCCCAAGCACAGCTTGGGGAGCAGCTGAGGCAGAGAGGATCTTAACCAGCAGAACAAGAACAAAAATCCCAAATGAGGGAAAAGCTTTGGATGGAACATTTCCCTCTAGTGGAAGTCAGGGACACCTCCCACTATCCCAGGTTGCCCCAAGCCCCATCCAACCTGCCTTTGGACACTGCCAGGGATGTGGGCAACCTGGGCCAGGCCCTCACCACCTCACAGCCTTCCAAACCCAGGCTATTCCATGATTCCATGAGCTCCAGCTCCCCAAGCCTTACCCAGGGACACCAAGGTCTCATAGTTGCCCCTCATCACGGCCCTGTACAGATCCTTCTGCCAGCGCTCCAGCCTCTCCCACTCCAGCTCGTTGAAATACACCGAGATATCATCGAAGGTGAGCGGCACCTGGAATCACAGGGAACTCCCTGGAACCACGCCTGCCTCGGGACACGTCCAGCCCCGCTGTGGGGGCACAGGAGCTCGGCCCCCAGCCCAGTCCCCAGGATGCCTGGGAAGCGCCGCCGCTACCTTGGGGATCTCCCCTCCAGAGGCGGGGGGCAGGCGCAGGATCCAGAAGTTCCTGTTCTTGAGGAGGTTCTCCAGGTTGAGCAGGCGCTGCTGCAGCTGCCCGTAGCCCTGCAGGAGGGTGCTCAGGGCGGCCAGGCCGCTGCCCAGCTCCCCGACCAGGTTCTCGCAGGCCAGCAGCCGCCGCTCGGCGCGCTCCGTGCGGCTCCGCAGCTCCTGCAGCTCCGACGGGGCCGTGCCCGGCGCCGCCTTCCGCCGGAGGCTGCCCGACACCTGCGGGGGAGTCAGGGTCAGGGGCCTGGCCACAGGGTGCTCAGGGAATGGGGACCCCCGAGGGATGCCCCCAGACCCCAGTTCCGCAGGGATCTGCCAGAGCCTGGCCGCCACCCCCATGTCCCCCTGTCCCCTTTGCCACGGACTAAAGGGAGACCCCCTGAACAGACACCCCAGGGGAGCCCCCAGGAGCAGCACCTCTGGGGGGTTCCCCAGTTCCTCCTTTCCCAGAGCAGCGTCCCTGGGAGATCCCTTCACCCCCATGAACCGGCATCCCCGGGGCAGCCCATCCTCCCGAGCTGTCATCCACGCCCAGGATCCAGAGGGACACCCCTGACTCCCAGACCCAGCACCCCTGGGGGCTCCCCCAGCACCCCCTCCCTGGGGGATCCCTCAACCCCCCAGAACCAGCCGTCCCGGAGACCCCCGAGCTGTCACCCCCAAGGGCCGCCCCATGCCACCTCCCTCCCTCCATCCCCAGCACCCCGAGGGACGCCCTGACCTCCAGTGCCACTTCTCCCGTGGGACCCCCGCGCGCCCCTGACCCAGCACCGCTGCGGCCCGCCCCGTCCCGTGTCCCGTCGCGCATCCCGGCCCGTGGCCCGTGGCCCGGGCGGGCCCTGACCTGCGCGGGCCCCCGGCGGGACAGGCGGGGCCAGCCCCAGTGTCACCAAGGCCGGGGTCGCCAAGGCCGGAGCTCCGGACCCTCCCCGGGCCCTGAACTGGGAGCCCTGCGGGACCCCCGGACCAGCCCCACGTCCTCTGGGAGCAGCATTCCTGGGGGATCTCCCCATCCCTGGGATCCAGCATTCCTGGGGATCCGCCATTCCCCTGAACTGCGAGTCCTGCGGGACCCCCAGACCAGCCGTACATCCTCTGGGAGCAGCATTCCTGGGGGATCTCCCCATCCCTGTGATCCCAGCATTCTGGGGAACCTCCCATACCCTCGGACTGACGTTCCTGAGGGACCCTCGGGACCCGCAGTGCCCCTGTGCAGACACCCCACGGGTTGGCTGTGACCCGCGGTGTCCCCGCTGTCCCCACACCGCCACCCTGATCACCCACGCTGCGTGTGTCCCCCCAAACGCATCCGCTCTCTCCGGTGTGCCGGCTTTATTTGGGGGCTTGGCAAAGCGGGGGCGGCTGCCCCAGAAGCGTTTTGGGGGTGGGAAGGGCGGGGGGCTCAGCGCAGGGCAGGGAGCGGGCAGCTGAGCTCTCTGCTGGCGTGGGGCTGCTCCCGGTGTCCAGCGGCATTCCCAGGCTCGGGCATCGCTCCCGCCGTGCTCTCGGTCCCCGCCGGGCCCGGGCTCCTGCCGGGGCTCCGCTGTCTCACAGCAGCGGGAGGCGCCCGGGGTGTCCGGCGGGCTGGGCCGGCTCCGGGCTCTCCCTCCTGGCTCTGCCCTGCGGAGTGAGCGCGGCATCACACGGAGCCAGGGAGAGGGAGATCCCATCCCACCGCATCCCATCCCGTCCCCATCCCATCCCGTCCCGTCCCGTCCCGTCCCGTCCCGTCCCCATCCCGTCCCATCCCGTCCCATCCCGTCCCGTCCCGTCCCGTCCCGTCCCAACCCCGTCCCACGGCAATCTCCATTCCCACCCCATTCCCGGGCAGCCCCGAGCACTCTCCGGTACCTCCAGTCCCTTCCCGCTCCGAGCCCGCCCGCCCGGCTGAGCCGCATCCTCCTCCCGGGAATTCCAGGGCATCGACTGCGACTCCTGCGGGACACACGCGGGTGTGGGAGCCCCATCCCCGCCCGCATTCCCGCATTCCCGCATTCCCGCATCCCGGCTCACCTCGCTCAGCACGGAGAAGCAGCCGGAGCAGGGTCTGTGCGGCCGCCGCCGGCCCTGCGGAGGGAAGGCTGGGATCGGCATCTCCCGGAGCGCACCGGGGAACGCGGGCAGGACCGGGAATACCGAGATCCCCCCCCCGCTCCCGCCGTGCCCTCCCCGCGATCTTCCGCGGCTGCGGGGGGCCCGGCACTGCCGAGCCCATCCCCGCGGGGACGGGGAGGTTGGAAAAACCGCACCCCGGGATTTGCCTGCGGGGCCGGGACAGCCCCGAGGGGCGGGGAGGGGGCACGGGGCCACCAAGGCCGAGCTCTGTCATTCCCAGCCCCGTTATTCCCGGTTTTTCCCTCTCCACACACGACCGACCTCTCTCCCGCGCGCCGCCATCCCGGAGCGGCCGTGGTCAGCTCCGGCCACCCCGGCCACGGCCACGGCCACGGCCACGGCACGTTGCAGCCACAGCCTCATGGCGTCCCCGCGGCTGGGCCCTGGACATTGGCCCCGACGGCACCACGGTGACCCCGGAAAGGTCACTCGGGGCCGGAGCTGCCGGACACAGGGAGAGAGGAAAGGGCCGGTTCTGGATAAGGGATGAGCTGGAGGAAAGTTCTCCCCAGAACTCTGCCTCGGGGGGTCCTGCTCTTGCTGCACCTCTCTGGGGGTCCTGGAGTCCTGGCATGGCCTGGATCATCCAGTCTCCTGCCACAGCAATTCCAGACCCTGCTCCTGGAATGACCCCCACAATTCCAGCTTCTGGGATTGTTGTTAAACCAAAGCAGGCTCGCTGTATCCGTTTGGTGATCAGCCATTAGTCCTGGCCACTCCTGAGGATCCCTAGGGTACGACGGAATTTGATTCATTCCAAATTTCTGGCTTTGGTGGCGCAGATGTGAAGGGTCCAGGCAGGACAGAGGAATTCCACAGGGAATTCCAGGAGGCACGGAGACTACTAGATGGAGACTGCTTGCACGGGGTTGGTGGGAAGGGAATCGTGGACAAGCTGCACACGGGAGATACAGAACGGTCGGGAAATTTATCCAGGAGAAGAGGGAAACGTGGAGGAGGCGGATGCAGGAGGCGGCAGGGAGGGAACGTGCGGGCAGCGGGAAACACGAGTGCAGGCCTCAGGCAAGGCCATGGGAAATCCCAGAGCCGGGACCAGATCTGAGAGATTTCTGGTGGAAAACCTGAGGATTCTCCCGCTAAATTTGGGATTTCGGGAGAATCAATGACCCTGGAGGCCAAACGGGATCAGAGCGGGCGGGATACGGGAGGGCTCGGCCTGCACTCGCCGGGAACAGGGACAGCACGGGAGGGAACGGCCTCAGGGGAGAGACACCGGGACAATCCCTCCCGGGAAGGGCCGTGCCGCGCTCCCGTTCCCATTCCCGTTCCCGTTGGGATTGACCCCCGGCTCCGGGCCCGCCTCACGTGCCGGGGTCACGGCGGCGCTTCCGGGGCGCCGCTTCCGGCTGGGCCATGGCGGCGCTTCCGCTGTGGGCGGGGCCTGTGCCGGAAGCGCGTGCGGGTGAGGGGGCGGGAGGCGCCGGGACCCCCCCGGAGCCCCCCCGGGCTCCCCCGAGACCCGCGGGGCCCCCCGGCCGCCATGGCGGGGCAGGCGCAGGTAGGAGCCGGGAGCTGGCTGGGGGAGCCCCGGGCCGCCCTCGCCGCCGCCCGGGCCCTCGATGTGAGGACCCCCGACACCCCCCGGATCCGGGGGGGTCCCGCAGCGCCCCCTCGGCAGCTGCTGGCGGGGCTCGGCCTCCAATGGCGAAGGACCCCCCACCCCCATCACCCTCCCAGCCCCACCCCAAAAACCAAAATGACCCCCCCAAATCATCAGCCCCTAAAAACCCCCATTCCATGCCCCCAACCCCACCCCCATTACCCCCGTCCCAAAACCCCTATCGCCCCCACATTTCCCCCCCACATCCCTCCCCTCCCTCTCTCTGCCCCCTGTTCCCCCATCCCCACTGGGATCGCTCCTGAGGGATTTCCTGGGATGGGCCCTGGAGGTCACGGGGGCTGCTGGGAATGTCCCCCAGCCCAGCTCCAGGTGATCTGGGGTCCTGGACTGTCCCAGTCCCACAGGGATCATGCAGTGCTCCCAGTAGGAACGGTAAAACACATCCCAAGGTGCTGGGTTATGGTGTTTGGTGCTGGATTCCAACCTGTCGTTCTCCCAGATCCGTAATTCCCACCCCAGTGGGGAACAAACCTTCCTGGGACAGCCCCATCCATGGCCTCATATCCTGAGAGCTCCTTTGGGCTGGGAGAGGCTTCTCCTCTTGGGAGGGAGGGTGTGATCTGTGAGGGAGGATTAGATCCCTGAGGGAGGCTTAGATCCGTGAGGGAAGCTGTGATCCCTGAGGGAGGATTAGATCCCTGAGGAGGGTGTGATCCCTGAGGGAGGTTTAGATCCTGAGAGAGGATTAGATCCCTGAGGGAGGATTAGATCCGTGAGGGAAGCTGTGATCCCTGAGGGAGGATTAGATCCCTGAGGGAGGCTTAGATCCGTGAGGGAAGCTGTGATCCTTGAGGGAGGATTTGATCCCTGAGGAGGGTATGATCCCTGAGGCAGGATTAGATCCCTGAGAGAGGATGTGATCCCCAAAGGAAGGTGTGATCCCTGAGGGAGGGTGTGATTCCTGAGGGAAGGTGTGATCCCTGAGGGAGGATTAGATCCTGAGGGAAGGTGTGATCCCTGAGGGAGGATTTGATCCCTGAGGGAGGTTTAGATCCTGAGAGAAGATTAGATCCTTGAGGGAGGTTAGATCCGTGAGGGAAGGTGTGATCACTGAGGGAAACTGTAATCCCTGAAGGAAGCTGTGATACCTGAGGGAGGATTTGATCCCTGAGGGAGGATTAGATCCATGAGGGAAGCTGTGATCTCTGAGGGAGGATTAGATCCCTGAGGAGGGTATGATCCCTGAGGCAGGATTAGATCCCTGAGGAGGGTATGATCCCTGAAGGAAGGTGTGATCCCTGAGGGAAGCTGTGATCCCTGAGGAAGCTGTGATCCCTGATCCCGTGGCAGGAGCCGATGACCTTCGAGGACGTGGCGGTGTTCCTGAGCCGGGCCGAGTGGGACGCGCTCACGGCGGGGCAGCGGGAGCTGTACCGGGATGTTGTGTCTGACACCTACGAGCTGCTGACCTCCCTGGGTAATCCTGGGAACCACCCCGGGCAGGGCTTCCCTCACATCCCACCCCAGCGGCTTCCAGAGTGCTGAATCCCAGAATCCCAGAGTGGCTGAGGTTGGAAAAGGCCTCGGAGATGGCCGAGTCCAACAATTCCCCAACACTGCCAAGGCCACCACTAATCTGTGTCTCCAAGTGCCTCATCCTCACAGCTTTCCAATCCCTCCAGGGCTGGACAATCCTTCCCGTGAGAAGTTTTCCCTTTTAGGGGCTGATCAGGGAGTTTAGTGCTGGAAAAGGCAGGATTTGGGCCTGGGTTTGAGCACCTCTGGAAATGATTCCCTAAAGATCAGGGAGCACGGTGGGATGTCCCACCCCTGGGATGAGCAGGAGACACTCCCTCACTGGCAAAGCCTGTCAGTGGAACTGGGAAGCTGTGGAACTTCCCACACTTCCATCAGGACTCTCAGGAATAAATCCCTCTCTGGCAGCAGCTCCAGTTTCTCCCTCACTTTTCCCGCATCTCAGAAGTGTTTCCATGCATGGTGAGGCACAGCTGGGGTGTCCCAGTCCTTGGTTTTCCACTGATCAGGGACAGTCCAACGCTCTCTGTCCCATTCCCAGGTTATTCAGGCCCCAAGCCCGACATCCTGCACCGGTTGGAACGTGGGGAAGAGCCGTGGATCTGCTCATCCCCAGGTGAGCAGCAACATCCCAACCCTGTGGGATGGAATCCACATCCAGGATGGGGTCAGGGCTTCCTGCTCCATCCCTGTGGCTGTGGAGAAGTCAGGATTCCTGGTGGGGACAAGGACAGGGCTCTTCCTTCATTCCCATGGCCGTGGAGAGTCAGGATTTCCAGCCTGGCTGGTGACATCTGCTGTTTTCCCTGCAGGACATGTTGGGAGCTGGCTGGAGGAGCCTTCCTCTGGTGGGTGGCCCAGAGCCAGTGGGCACCAGGGGCTGGAGACCTCATGTCCAGGTGAGTCCTGCTCCAGCCCCATTCCTGGGCCACTCCCAGGGCTTCTCCCATTGCAGGGCTCCCCTGATGTCTGGCAGAGGTTGGGATGTGGAGCCCAGGCAGTCCCAGACTGGGAAGAAGGGATGTTCCTCTCCTTGCTCCAGCCAGGAAGGATTCAATCCCTTCCCACCTCTTTCCCAGCAGGATGGAGCACCTTGTGGTTTCTCCAGGGCAGGAGCTTCCAGAAGAAGTTTGGCTGTCACGAGGGAAGGAGTGAAGTCCCGTCGGAAGCAGATATTGGAGTAGGGAGCCAAGCCCAGCCATGGCTTGTGAAGGAGGAAGTGGAGGATAAACCTGGACTCACAGAAGACATAACCCACAGTGAGACATTTTCGCTTCATTCCCTAATGGAGCAGCAGAGCCTGAATCCTTGGGAACAGCTGTGGGATGGCCCTGGAGAGAGGAGTCAAGGGAATGCCCAAAACCATGGACACACCTTGGGAGAGGCGACGCTTCTCCCGAGAACCCGGGAGCTGCGGGTGGAGGAGCTGAGAGCGGCGGTGGCGAAGGACCACGGCTACTGCCTCCGGAGTGAGCCAGGCACGCCCTGCACCCCCCCGCCCTGCTGCCTGTGGGAACACAACTACTGCCAGCAGCACCAGGCCGGGAGGAGCTGCGAGGCCGGGAGGAGCCATGAGGTCATGGACGGGAGGAACTGCGAGGCCGGGAGGAGCCGCAAGGACGGGAGGAACCACGAGGCCAAGAGAAGCCACGAGGACGGGAGGAACCACAAGGCCAAGAGGAGCCATGAGGACAGGAGGAGCCACAAGGACGGGAGGAACCGCAAGGTCAAGAGGAGCCGTGAGGCCAGCACCACCCGGGCCATGCGCCGCCGGGTGGCGCGGCGGCAATTCCACTGGGGCAGGACGTTCCGGAGAGCCAGGGAGATCCTGCGGCGCTACCAGCCCTACTGGAGGTTGGGGTTTCCGTGGAGAGACCGCTCCAGCTCCAGTGGCGCCGCGCAGGGGGCGAACCCTGCGGTTTGTCCTCCGACGAATGAAGCCGCGCCACGCCGGCTCCAGGGCGCCGGGAATGCTGAGGGGGAGACATTGGACACACAGTGTGCCCCAGAGGGGATTGTGGGAACTGGAGGTTCACCCCCTGCCCTAATCCTGGATGCAGGGATGGGGAAGAGAGCAAAGCCTCTGGAGCATCCTGGTGCCAGACAGGAGCTTGAAGGATGTGCTGCACCCCAGAAATCGCAGGAGGTGTCGCTCCAGGACGTGTTCCGGAATGTGCTGAAGGCAGTCAGGTACATACTGGACTCCATGTGCCAGAAGTTTGAGCTCCAGGGGGTCTCCCAAGGGAAGAGCATCTGGCCCATTATCATCCAGATTGACAACTTGACTGAGATCAGGAAGCACTGACTCCTGGGGAAAACTTGAATTGGATTCCCTGAGGCACAGCACTCAATCCCCCCCATTTCTGGGGGTTTCAGTAGGAAAAACGTGGCAGATGTGGATTGGGGAAGGTGAAACTGGGAATGTGGGGCCTGCCCTGAACTGGGATTGATTGAGAGGCTTTGGAGAAAAGCAGTGGGAAAGAGGAGGATTCGTGTGGCTCAAAGGAGGAAAGAAGGAAAAGTGAACATGGGATCCTGAAATCCTGGAATGGCTTGGGTTGGAAGGGATGTTAAATCCATCTCTAAAAACCAACCAGGGGTTGGGCTGTGCTCCTGTCACCACAACAATGGGAAAAACAAACCAACGTTTTTGGTGTTAGACAAGGCATTTCCTTATTTCTGGCTGGGGTATGCGACAGAAATTATTTCAACCACACATGGCCTGGGTGTGCAGAGAAAACTATTTAATGACAGGCAAACTTTACTCAATTTTTCCCAAACTTTATCCAGTCCAAAACCCACAGAAATCCATTGGTTCAATGCTCATTTGTTCCAAATTGCAGAGTTCTCAGAATTCGGTTTCTTATTAGACCAGGATTTTTTTGCCTCTGATGTTTATTGGGCTGTCACTAATTTCTTTATCAGCCTTTTCCAGCCCCAGGGGTCTGGGGTAGATGTTCCTTGATGTTTGCTGATGGTTGTTATCTTTTTGGGTGTCTTTTGGGCTATTCCCAGTTTGTTGAGATGTTAAGTTTGTCAGACTTCACAGAGGCGAACAATACCGTTGAAAAAATATTAGTCTAATTCCTTTCTCCAAGTCAAAGGCAAAGTGAGCCTAACTAGAGAAATAAAATAAATTTGAAACGTTGTATAGTTGCCAACACTCCCAGGGAACAGGGAGAGGATGAGGAGAAAGAACCTCGAGTTGTGCCAGGGAGGGTCAGGTTGGGTTGGCTTGGATATAGGGAAGGACAAAGGAAGGTTTAGTTCCAGTAGTGTGGAAGCGTTTTCCTGGGAAATCCAGCCTGGCCTGAATTCCCAGCAGCTTTTGGAACCTCTGGAATTGGATCATGACAAGGAAAAGGTGATTTCTGGGATGTTCTCCAAAGCCCTTCCAGGGGCCAGGTGCTGTTATGGGGACAGAAGGAATCCAACAAATTCAAACAAACTGAGCACCGTGGATCCATTCACTTTCTCCATGGAACTGGGGTGACCTGGGGAAAATCTGGGATGCCTGAATTCGGGATGCTGGTTTTGGCAGCAGGATGTTCCTGACAGCTGTGGGGTGTTGACTTTGGGGCTTTCAGCATTCTCCTCTGAGATGCCAAATCCTTCTGAGGGAGCTGGAGGGGCTCATCCTGGAGAAGAGGAGGCTCAGGGGGCACCTTCTGGCTCCTGAAATTCCCTGGAAGGAGGCTGGAGCCAGGAGGGGTTGGGCTCTGCTCCCAGGGCGTAGGACAAGAGGGAAGGGCCTCAAGGGCAGGTTCAGGTGGACATTGGGAATGTTCCTCCTGGAAAGGGAGGGGATCTCCAGCCCTGGCCCAGCTGCCCATGGCAGAGGTGGAGTCCCCACTCTGCAGGGATCTAAAAGCCCTGTGGATGTGGCACGTGGGGACATGGGACAGTGCTGTGCTTGGACTCGGACATCTCTGAGGGCTTTGCCAATCTCAGCAATTCCATGACTCCGCAATTCCTGGAAGGACATTCTCGCCTGTCAGTGCCAGCAGGCGGTGAAACGGGATTTCAAAGCCAATAAAACCGGTGAAATGTCTCGGGAGCCGCTGTGTCCCGGCTCCAGGCGTGTTTTGAGAGTCGGGGCTTCCCGTCACCTTTTCCCAATCTCGGGGTCCCCCCAGGACCCCTGACCCGCACGGCGCGGAAGCAGCACCACCGCCGCCCAATCGCGGCGCGACCTGCAGGTCACGTGCCTCACTCCGCCAATCACAGCGCCCGCCGCGCTACCCGGATGCTGTACGGCCTCCCAACATGGCGGCGCCCAGTGAGCGCGGGAACGCGCCCCTTCCGGGTCGTGGCAGAGGCCACGATTGGGGCGTGGCCTAATGCGGAAGCACCAGCGCGGGTTGACCTGCGTGACCACGCCCCCTTTTGCGCGGTTGCCATGGAGACCAGGGCGGTGCCGTTGCCTCGGAAACCAGGGACGGGCCCGGAGCGGGAAACGGGAACACGGCGGGACCGGGCAGGGACCGGGCAGGGACACGGGGCCCCTGCTCAGACCCAGAGGAGGCCCCAGAGCTGCTGCAGGGCTGGAGCCAGGCTGGGAGGCTGCACAGACCCAGAGGAGGCCCCGGAGCTGCTGCAGGGCTGGAGCCAGGCTGGGAGAGCTGGGAATGTTCCTCTGGAGAGGAGAAGGCTCCAGGGAGAGCTCAGAGCCCTGCCAGGGCCTGAAGGGGCTCCAGGAGAGCTGGAGAGGGACTGGGGACAGGGGATGGAGGGACAGGACACAGGGAATGGCTCCCACTGCCAGAGGGCAGGGATGGATGGGAGATTGGGAATTCCTGGCTGGGGGGGGGGGGATGGGCTGGGATGGAATTCCCAGAGCAGCTGTGGCTGCCCCTGGATCCCTGGCAGTGCCCAAGGCCAGGCTGGACAGGGCTGGGAGCAGTGGGAGGTGTCCCTGCCGTGGCAGGGGTGCTGTGGAATGGGATCTGTGCTCCATTCCAGCCCAACCAGGATGATTCCGTGACGGACCAGCCGTGCCCTCCCTTCCGTATCCCAGCATCCCAGGCTTGCTGGGGTGGAAGGACCTTAAAGCCCACCCGGTGCCAGCCCCTGCCTGGCACTGGGAACCTTCCAGAGCCCAGGTCGGATCGGGGTCTGGCCGTGGGAACGGCTCCAAGACAAACGCGCGGCTGTTCCGGAATGAGGAGGGACAGCTCAGTCCTGGGAAGGGCAAATAAACCCCAGTCAGATTTATGAGCAGGGAATTTCCCCAGCTCAGGGCTCAGGGTTTAGTTTTGGGTGGGATTTACTGTCCCTGTCAGAGGTGGGAGACGTCCTGGGAATCACAAAATCACAACTTCCTGAGGAAAAGTCACTGAATTGTCCCTTTTTTATTCCCAAAATGGCCTCCAAGGATTTTGTGGCTTTTTGGTGCCTGCTCAGGGCTGGCACAGGCAGCTAAAAATTAAATTTAAATATTTTACATCTCTTTTGAATCTCTTTCTCTTGCTGTTGAATCCTAGGTGGGATACATGGGGAAAATGGGAATAACTGAGGAGTTTGGAAGGAGCTGACAGGATTTTGGAGGAGATTTGGAAGGAATTGAAGAATTTGGAGGGCATCTGTGAAGGAACGGGGAAGAATTTGGAAGGAATTACAGAATTGAAAGGGAATTTTAAGGAATGGGGGACAGTTTGGAAGGAATTGGGAAAGCCTTGAAGGGAAGCAGTGAGAGCAGTCAATCCCTGGGGATGTGTTGGATCCCCATCCCTGGAGGAGAGCCTGGATGTGGTGCAGGATAATCCCACCCTTCTCCTTGGAAGGTTGGACCTGGCTGCAGCTGGAATGTTGCAGGGTCAGGCGGGGTTGGCTGCAGGGCAGTGGCTGACACCGTCCCTCCCTGGGGACTTCCCGGTGCCACCCCCCCCCGGTGGTGTCTTTGTCCCCGTGTGATTTATGAGGATGTTTTCCACCGATCCCGGCTCCAGGGGGGCCTGAGGCGAGGGTCACCCTCGGGGCAGGATCCTGGGTGTCCTCCTGGAGCTTCCTGCTCCCCTGTTTGCAGAGAGGGACAGGCCATAAATCACCCCCCGGCTGGAAAACCCCGTCTGTCTTCAGAGAAACAAGGGAAAAAGTCCTCGGAGACCAAAAATCATCCTCAGCACCGCCAAGGCCACCACTGACCGTGTCCCCAAGTGCCACATCCACAGGGATTCTAAATCCCTTCACCAATGGGCACTCCAGCACTGCCACGGGGAGCTGTGCCAGGGCTGGGCAGCCTTTTTGGGGAAGGAATTTTCCCAAATCCAGCCTGAACCTCCCCTGGCCCAGCCTGAGGCTGGTTCCCCTTGTCCTGTCCCTGTTCCCTGGGAGAAGAACCCGACCCTCAGCTGGCTCAGACCTTTCATCCCCACCACGCTCTGGACCATCCACGGCCAATGTGGGAAATGGGTTTGTAGGGAATTCTCAAAGCCTGACAGAAGGCTCACGCAGCGTGTGCATCTGTGTGCAAACTGAGATAAGAAACGCTGACTTGGGAACTTTTTGAGGAAGGAATTTTCCCAAATCCAGCCTGAACCTCCCCTGGCCCAGCCTGAGGCTGGTTCCCCTTGTCCTGTCCCTGTTCCCTGGGAGAAGAACCCGACCCTCAGCTGGCTCAGACCTTTCATCCCCACCACGCTCTGGACCATCCACGGCCAATGTGGGAAATGGGTTTGTAGGGAATTCTCAAAGCCTGACAGAAGGCTCACACAGCGTGTGCATCTGTGTGCAAACTGAGATAAGAAACGCTGACTTGGGAACGCCATGGAATGGACAGACATTGCTGAGAGAGGAATGGAACCAGGAACAAGTTTTAAAGGATGGCCTTGCAAATAGGGCTGGATACTTTGGAGAAATAGAACTGTGAAAGATTAAAAAGTAATTTTAGATGGTTGGTGTTAAAACATTTACAGCATGGTGTGGCTAAAGCTGATAAGCCAAGAAACACTGATTGTGTATTGTAATTAGGAAGTAGTTGGTTTTTGATTGTGATGGTGTGAATTATAACATCTGCATTGTCTCACCCTTCACACGAGACTGAAAACGGAATAAAAGTTTTTAAAACCTCTCCGTTGCCCCATCTCTGGGTCAGAAAAGAGCTTAATCTGACAGGCCATCTGTCACCACAGTCCCTGTCCTCGCTGTCACCCCCTGGTCACACATTCCCTGCCCTGGGGACCCCCTGGTGACACATTCCCTGCCCTGGGGACCCCCACGGCACAGGACCCCACACCCCGTGGCCTCTCCCCGCTGCCGGTGACCAGCACACCCATCCCCGCTGCCCGGGGCACCGCGGCGGGCCGGGCCGGGCTCCTGGCCAGATTCATCCCCCCGGAATGTCCCTGTGTGCCAGCCCCCCGCTACGCCCAGGACAGCTCCCATAAAAGCGCTGCCGGCCCGCTGGGGAGCAGGATCCGGGATCCAGGAGCGCCATGGGGCCGTGCCGAGCGCTGCCACCGCTGCTGCTGCTGCTGGGGCTGGTGCTGGCTGGAGCTTCCACGCCGGAGCCGCGCGGATCCACACTGGGACAGGACGGAACCGATGGAACCGCGGTGTCCTCGTCCTCGTCCTCGCCGCGCTCCCTGAGCTACGGGGACGTGGTGGCGGCGGCCGTGGAGCTGCTCAACGCCAGGGCCGTCAGTCCCTACGTCCTGCGGCTGCGGGAGGCTCAGCCCCGGCCCGGCTGGGTGAGTGCTGGGCTCTCCCTTTCCAGGGGAAACTCCAGGGCTGGGCAGTGCTGGATCCGGCCCCGTTTTGGGTCTGAGCCCTGAGGGACCGAGCGCAGCCGCGTCGGGGCTGAGCCTGACCCATTCCAGGCTGGATGTGGCCCCTCTTGGGGCTGGTTCTGGCCCGTTGTGGGGCTGGTGGGCACTGGAGGCAGTGGATCCCTGATGGATCCTGTCCCTTTTCCCAGCCCTCGGACCTGCAGAGCCGGCAGGAGCTGAGCTTCACCCTGGAGGAAACCACGTGCAGGACGCCGGGAACGGACACCGGCAACTGCAAGAGCCGCTGGCTCGGGGTGAGGCTTCTTCCCGTGGGAACTGGGGATTATCCAGTGGGGAAACTGAGGCACGAGGGGGTTGGGCTCTCCTGTGTCCCCTCTGTGTCCCACAGGCCGTGACCTTGTGCCAGGGCTCCGTTTTCCTGGAGGGGCAGCAGCCCACGGTGGAGCTCTCCTGCGAGAAGGCCCCGGCCGCGGTGAGAAGGGGCTGGAATGGCTCCGTGTCCCTCCGGGGGTCCCCCGGGTCCCCTCACCGCCCCCTCCCCCAAGTCTGAGCCTGCTCTTTGTTTTCCCCAGTTTGGCCAGATCTGGAAATCCAAGATCAAGGATTTCTTTGGCAAGGTCAAGCAGCGTTTCCGGGGGTTCTTCCAGTGCGGTCGGATCTGGATCCGGGACAGGCTCAACCTCAAGGCACCCAAACCCTGAGGGGTGACACTGCTGTGCCCCTACCCTGTGTCCCCACCTTGTGTCCCCTCCCTGTGCCCCCTCCCCAGGTGCTTCACTGCCAATAAAGGTCCCTGCATCACTCCTGGTGTCACCTGAGTGCCCCAATGGGGACCCCCGAGCGCTCCCGGACCCCCCAAATCCCCCCGTGGCCAGCCAAGGAACTGTGAGAGCTGGGAACACCCTGGGGGTCATGAATGGGGGGCGTCACGAGTGGGGGGCGCTCACTGGGGTCCCCTGGAGAGACAAAGGGACCCCCCCTGCAGGTGCTGCCACCTCGGGACCCCCCGACAGCCCCTCCCCAGCCCCCGCTGCTTCCCGGCCCTGCCGTGCCGTTCCCTGCCACTGTCACCACAAGGGGGACGCGAGGATGGGGACGGTGCTGGTGACAGAAGGTCCCACGGGGAGCAGGAGCAGCTCCCCCAAAATGGGCACAACGCGGGCACCACCGGGGTCCCCTCCTAGCACCGGCCCCCTGCAGGGACTTGGAGCCCTGGGGCTGTCCCTCCCTGTCCCCAGGACACCCCGGAGCCTGTGGGTTTGTGGGGTACAGACCCACAGGAATATTGAGGGACAGGAGGGACATCTGCAGGGGATGCAGCCATGACCCTGCTCCAGCCGCTTTTGGGGCTCAGGGGTCCCAGAGCCCCCAAATCTGCACCCGCAATGTCCCTGTCCCAAACTGGGTTCACCGTGGGGGTCCTTTTTTCGGGACCTGAACCCCCCCAGCCACTCCCTGAAGGGCTCACAGTGTCCCCTGTGTCCCCTCCCCACCTCCCTTTGCCATCACTGCTGGTTTGGGGGGGACGAGATGCAGAGGGGACAATGCCACCACGGGGACAAGGGCTGTGGGGACAGTGACACTCTGGGGCTGACGGTGGTCCCTTTTTCGGGTGGGGTCCTGGGGGCTCCCCAGAGCAAACCCATCCCTGTCCCCAGTCCGACTCCACGTCCCCTTGAGGACGATGAGGAGGAGCGGCCCCGTGTCCCAGCCGTGCCTCAGTTTCCCCGTGTGACAGAGCCAGGAGGTCGCGGTGCCCACACGGCCACTCCCGGTGGCCCCTTTATTGCTCAGCCCAGCCCCACGGAGCCCTTCAGGCGGACGTCGAACTTGATCCTGGGTCGGAAGCGCCGGACCTTCCCCAGGAAGCGCCCGAAGCGGCCGCGCTGGATCAGAACCGGCTGCCGGAGGGATGGGGGGGGTCAGGGGCGGCGGGGGTGTGGGACTCCCCCTTGGAGCACAGCCGGGACCCCACACAGGGCCCCCCGCAGCTGGAAACCCACCCAGGACCCTGCACCAGGGACCCTATCTCCCAGATCCCACTAGGAACCCCATTCCCAGGATCCCACCAGGGACCCCATCCCCAGAATCCCACCCAGGACCCCATCCCCAGGATCCCACCAGGGACCCCATCCCCAGAATCCCACCCAGGACCCCATCCCCAGGATCCCACCAGGGACCCCATCCCCAGAATCCCACCCAGGACCCCATCCCCAGGATCCCACCAGGGACCCCATCTCCAGGGACCCCATCCCCAGGATCCCACCAGGACCCCACCAGGGACCCCATCCCCAGGATCCCACCACGGACCCCATCCCCCAGATTCCTCCAGGGACCCCATCCCCAGGATCCCATCAGGGACCCCATCCCCAGGATCCCACTCCAGGGGTATTCCCCCCCAGGACCCCACTTCAGGGACTCCACTCATGTCCCCGCACCAGGGACCCCACTCCTGGGACCCCATATCCAGAATCCAACACTTGGGACCCCACCCAGGACGCTCCACCTGGGGCCCTGCACGCCACACCCAAACCCAGGACCCCGGCCCTGGGACTCTGCACCCAAAACCCCCCACCCAGGACCCCCACCCAGCACCTGTGAGCTGCCCAGGACCCCCCACCCTCCTCTGGAGCCATGGCGGGGCAGCGCAGCCCCCGGGGTGTCCCTTTTGGGGGCTGCGGACCCTCCAGGGACCCTCCCCGGCTGCCCCCACTCACGTCGGAGGAGGCGTCGGAGCAGTGCAGGTCGATCTCGGGGGAGTCCTGCCGGAACTTCAGCGGCCCCGAGCACTCCTTGATGACCTGGGGGGGACACGCGGTGTCACCTGGGGATGGCAGAGAGCCCCCGTGCCCCCTTCCTCCCGCTCCTGCTCCTCCTCCTCACCCCGTTCTCCTTGAAGTCGCAGTCGTCGGGGTTGGTGCGGGCGCTGGCGGCGCAGTCCGTCTCCATCATGCTGAAGTTGAGTCTCTGCAGCGAGCTCAGCCCCACGCCCTGCGGACACGGGTGGGTGGCGGTCACCAGGGGCAGGTGGCAGGAGGGGGGTCAGCAATTGGGGTGGCACGAGGAGGGGGTCACCAGTGGGGTGGCAGTCACTGGCGTGGGCTCAGGGCCAGCGCTGGGTGACCACGAGGGGGGGATCATGAGGGGTGCGTGACAAATGGGGGGTCACTAGTGGGGGGACAGGAATAGGGTGTGACAAATGGGGGGTCATGATGGGGTGACACTCACGGGTCAGCACTGCGCACCCCGAGTGGGTACCGTGAGTGGTGGGACAGGAATAGGGGTCATGGGGGGTGTGTGACAAAAGGGGGGTCATGATGGGGTGACACTCACGGGTCAGCACTGCGCACCCCGAGTGGGTACCGTGAGTGGTGGGACAGGAATAGGGGTCATGGTCACAAATAGGGGGTCCCGAGTGGGGTGCACTCACCGGGGCAGGCTCAGGGTCGGGCTGGGCAGCCCCGATCAGGCACCACGAGTGGGGTGGGGGTGTCACCCGTGGGGGGGTCCCGGGTGGGGGGCACTCACCGGGCCGGGCTCGGGCTCCGCGCTGAGCAGCCTGAAGGCGTTCTGCACCTCGGGCTGCTGGTTGTAGGAATCCACGGCCTGCGCCAGCGCCTCGGTGTAGGACAGGGACGCCGGGGCGGGGAGGGCGCAGGCCCCCCCCAGCACCGCCAGCACCAGCACCCACGAGCTCGGCATCGCTGTCGCCACGGCCACCCCCGGGCCCCTTTTATCCCCCACGGGAGGTTGGGGACCCGCCCCGGGGCTGCCCCTTGGGACACGCCCGGCCCGAGCCGCAGAGCGGCCGTTCTTTTGGGGGGGATGCGCGGGGCGGGGGGGTCCCCGTGGATGGGCGGTGACATCTGAACCCCTCGGGGTCCCCACCCTCGGGAGCCCCTTGGCCGGGCTCGGGGGGTTTGGGGGCCAGGGCCCCTCGGGTGGTGACACGTCGCCCGTGTCAGGTTGGTGCCCGCGGGGTTGCACAACCCCAGAGTTGCGCCATCGCTGTTGCCCAACGCCGAGGGTGCGCCCCGGGTCCCCCGAACCGTCACCCCCACACACGCACACGTCCGACCCCGAAATCTCTTTATTGCAGCTCCGCTGGGGACAGGGGGCGGCGGGACGGTCCCTGCAGGGACGCGCTGGGAGGGGGGCGAGGCCGCGGGGGCGGCCCCGAGGATGATGAAGAGGATGAGGAGGATGAGGAGGATGAGTGACCTGGGCTGGTGCCAGGGGAGCGGGGCTGGGCGCTGTCACCGGGCTGCTGCGGGGAGAAATAAAGGGGGAATTTCACTCCAGAGCCAAACCCCCCGCCCGAACCGAAGGGGACGCGTGTCCCACCCCCAGGATGCGCTCCCGGAGCCCTCACCGGCTCCCGGCCGCACTCCACCATCGACAGCGGCACGTCGGGCAGGAAGGTGAACACGGACACCTGGGCCGAGCAGCGCTGCACCTGCGGACAGAGCGGCCTCAGCACGCCGCAGACCCCCCGTGCCCCCGGGTTTGGGGGTCCCACCCCACGCTCACCCTGCCCGGGCGGCCCCGGCAGCCGCGGGGGTCCGGGGCGGGCTTGGGGCAGGGCGGCTGCCGCGCCGTGAAGTTGATGCTGAAGTGGGTCCCCCAGTCGAAGCTCTGCCGGGACAAAAGCTCCGTGGGGCCCCGCACGGGGATGGGTGCGGGAGCCGGGAGCACCCCCCCCCGCACCCCTTTTCCTACCGTCCTGGCCACTCCGAGCAGCCGCAGCAGCCGCAGCTCCTGCCCGTGCGTCTCCAGCACGGAGCGAGCCAGCTCCCGGGGCGCGGGCATGGCCGGGGGCACGGCCGGGGCCGGGGCAGCGCTCACCGGCAGCACGGCCCCCAGCAGCAGCAGCAGCGCCATGCGGGCGGCAATGCGCCCCCGGCTCGGCAGCAGCCCCGGGCTCGGGGCCCCCCGCTCCGGCTCCGGGGGAAAGAGCGGCCCCCGTGCCGCGGGAGGGGATCGGGTTGCCGGTGTTTTCCTTGGCCCGGTGCCGCGGGGGGAGCGTGCCTGGACCTGCAGGGGATGCGGCGATGCTGGAGCTCGGCAGGGCCGATCCCCCTCCGCGGCCCCTTCGCCGTGCCTGCTCCGTTCCTTGGCGCGCTGCTCCCAGCGAGATCCTGCTCCTCCCGAGCCCAGCGAGATCCTGCTCCTCCCGAGCCCAGCGAGATCCTGCTCCTCCCGAGCATCCTCCTGCTCCCCCCAGAGAGAAGAACCAGGAGCCCCCTCCCCTCTCCCAGTTTCTTTACATGACTTTGGGTTTTTTAAATCCCTCTCAGCCTGCTCAGATTCATCCAAACAGCCCAGGCCCAGGTTTTCCTTGGATTCAGGAACACAGGCTTTGCCAAGGACTCCACTGTGTGGATCCTGCTCTCCCAGTCCACCTTCCCTGGGTCAGAGGGTCTTGTTTCCCCAAAATTCAGGATTTTCCTGTTGCCTTTGGAGCTAGGAGCTCCCCTTTCTCCTCGCTTCATCCACAATGGAAAAGCAAAGAATTCCCTGGGTTAGGAATCCCAGGAAGCACATCTGGGAGACACCTGAGGCTTCTGGGATCCCTGGGCCTGGGAACAGTGCTCTGGAAGCCCTGGGGTCATCGACAGCCCTGGGGTCAGGGGAGCTGCTGCTCTTCCAAAGGTGTTTGTTCCAATATTCCCATTCCTAGGGACACAAGACCCAGGTGGGAGATGGTGGGAGGGAGAAGGGATAACGGAACACCAGGAGGGCAGCTCACCAGAGCCTCCTCTGCCCACGGAGACCATCGGGAGGGGTCCTGGAGAAGAGAAGATGCCACAGGCAACAACTTCATTCTGATCGTGTTTTTTCTTATTTTTCCTTTTTAAAGTCTGAGCAGCACAGAAAAGTCCAAAGGATTCCCATTCCTGGGAAGCCAGCAGTGGACAGATGTGGGAGAAATGGATATGTCCTGATAGATCACATTTAGAACCAGATATGCTCATTACAGACCCTAAAATATACCCAGTACCCCAACACAGACATCCACATGTACAGCCAGAGTCAATCCCAGGGATGCTGGGAGCAGGAGCAGACACCAGGAGCGGGGCTGGGGGGCACATCCTGCTCCCAAATCCCTGGCAGCTGGGATGGGGTCACGTTCCTGCTGCCTGGCCCTGCCTGCCCGGAGGAGGTATGGCTGTGCCCAGGCTGGCACGGGAAGAGCCGGGCACGGAGAGCTCCGGAGGGACGGCGGGTCATGGATCATGCAGGACAGGGGCTGAAGGGCTGGTGCAGGGAAGGTGCTGCCAGGCAGCTCTTTGGCTCTGCCAGCATCCCAAAGTTTCCTGGCACAAAATCCATGGCAAAGACCTTTCCCAGCAGAGCATGACAAAACTCATGACGTATTTTCCTTGCCTCTCCTAAAATATCCCAGTCTCTTTGTTCCAGCTGCCTCTCAGGCTTAGAAAATACCTCAATAATTAATTTAAAGGACATCCTGATAATCTGTTTTCCATTTTGAAACCCTCAGGCTGTTGCCTGGAGTCGTTTCCATCCATCCTTCTCCAGAGCTTGCCCAAACGATCCTGGTTTAACTGAACTTTTCCTCTTCCTGGTTTCTCCATCCTGTGGCTCTTGTGGAGAAGTTTTCCACATCAAGCTGAGGAAAGCACGAGAAACTGGGGGTGTCTTGTGTAAGAAGCTCCTGGAAGCAACAGCGCCGTGTTTGTCCTCTTTGGCGACCCCCTGTGCAACCAGGACCCCCCAAATCGCTGCTGATGCCCCTGGGAGGGCTCAGGTGGTTTTGCTGCTCCAAGAAGGTGCAGGTGGATTTTCCAAGTCCTTGAAGTGGCCGTTTTTATGTCACAATGAAGCCTGGCCCCCTCCCCCGGCTCACAACGGCACTTCCCAAAGGCGTAACCGCAGGAAAACCGACGACGCCTGGATGGATCCGCTCGGCCTCGGCTCCGGAGAAGGCTGAGGGGGTCTTTGCTCATAAACTCACCACATTTGACCCTTCAGGACCTTCAGCCCGAAAAATTACAGGTGGGGTTTACTCTCAAGTCAAGTTTTGTGTTCGGATCGAGCACCTGGAAATCCTGGCACGCTCGCCGCGGCCGAGACGCCCCCCCCGCACGTCAGATGGTGAGGAGCGGCACGCAGCCCACGCCCACGCCGCCCTCGTGGCACACCATGGGCGCCATGAACGTCCAGCGGTTGGTCTCGGGGTCGTACATCTCCACCGAGCTCAGGTTGGACTGTCCGTCGTAGCCGCCCACGGCGTAGAGCCGGCCGCAGTTGGCCACCAGGGACACGCGGCTGCGGCGCGTGTTCATGGGCACGATCGGGTACCACTGGTCGGCCGCGGAGCTGTAGACCTCGGCGGCGCTCAGGAAGCCGGAGCCGTCGTAGCCGCCGCAGACGAACATGCGGCTGCCCAGCGCGGCCGCGCCGTGCCGGCACCGCTTGTTCAGCATGGGCGCCACGGCGTGCCAGCTGGACGTGTGCGGGTTGTAGTACTCCACCTGCCACGGAGCACGAGCACAGTCAGGGAGGGCGCTGCCTTGGGAATCGCCCTGGGGTGTCCCCCTGTGGGGCTGGCACTGCTGGGGCAGCGCCACACCGGGGGCAGTGGTGGGTTTCTTGTGGTAAGACAGGGAAGGGAAGGGTCTGGAGCAGCCTTCAGTTAAAAGTTCAGCTGCTGTGGGATGGTGCCTGAAGGGTTTGGGTTGGAAGGGACCTTAAAGCCCATCCAGTCACCCCTGCCATGGGCAGGGACACCTTCCACTGTCCCAGGCTGCTCCAAGCTCTGTCCAGCCTGGCCTTGGGCACTGCCAGGGATCCAGGGGCAGCCACAGCTGCTCTGGGCAACCTGTGCCAGGGTTTCCCCACCCTCCCAGCCAGGAACTACGTCCCAATATTCCACCTAAATCTCCCCTCCTTCAGCTCAAAGCCATTCCCTGTGTCCTGTCCCTCCTTGTCCCCAGTCCCTCTCCAGCTCTCCTGGAGCCCCTTTAGGCCCTGGAAGAGGCTCTGAGCTCTCTCTGGAGCCTTTTCTTCTCTCCCAGCCTGTCTCCATATCCAAGGGGCTCCAGCCCTCAGAACATCTCCATGGCCCCAAGGGGATAAGTGAATCACTTCTGTTCCACCTCAGGTTTTTCTGTTATGGGTGGAAGTGACACAATTTGGTGGCACAACCACTCGGGGCTGTTTGGATAGCCAGGGAAAGGACACGGATCCTTCCAGCCCCGTGCTGAGGTGCAGGGGCTGAGCCCTGCCCAGGGCCTTACACTGTTGAAGATCTGGAGCCCGTCGTGCCCTCCGGACACGTAGATCCGGCCCTCGAACACGGTGACTCCGGCAGCGCTGCGGTTGGAGCTCATGGGGGTCACTGCTGTCCACCTGGGAGGGAGAGGGGAGAGGTCAGCAAGACTCCCACAGATTATTCCATGCTTTTCTAGTGCTGGATTCTACCATCTCTCTTCTCCCCACTCCTTATTCAAACCATTCTCAGATGCCCAGCGGTGCCAGGACATGGAATGCTGGAGGGGAACCTCCTGGAAAAGCTCTGGGACACCAAGGGCTCTTACTTGTTTGTTTCTGGAGAGTAGGACTCCACTGAGTTGAGGGATGAGTTTCCATCGTAGCCACCACACACGTAGATCTGCCCATCCAGCACCACCGTTCCCATGGCACTGCAAGGAACAGCAGGACCTTCTGAGGTGGCTGGAGGTGCTGTCACCCTGTCCCCAACACTGTGACCCCACACACTCTGCCTGCGGCATCCCACCAAAGTGCCTTTTCCCTGGATTCACCTCCAAACTGCTCAGTCCCACTTGAACTCTGAGCTCACAAAGGGGAAAGGTGTTCATGGCAGGAGCACCGGAAATCCTGGGTGTGAATTTGGGTCCCTCACAAGAGAAAAAGACATTGGGGGGCTGGAGTGTGTCCAGAGAAGGGCATGGAGCTGGGGAAGGGGATGGAGCACCAGGAGTGGCTGAGGGAGCTCCAGAGAAACCAAGTGAGGGGCACATACACCCTCCACCCCTGCCCTGCACAGCCTGGGCCAGGGCTGGACAACTCCTTCCAGGAGGAATCTTCCCTGTATCCAACCTGAACTGCCCTGGCACAGCTTGAGGCCATTTCCCCGTGTCCTATCCCTGCACCCTGGGAGCAGAGCCCGGCCCACACCTGGCTGCACCAGAAACTAACCAAGGCAATCCCAGCTGCCTCCACACTGCCCCACTCCTCCTTTCCCATTTCCCCCCCCCCAAACCCACACACTGCTGGGCACCCACCACCAGCCACCCCACTCTTCCTCCAACCTCCTTATTCCTTGCTTTTCCACAAGTCTCCTCCCTATGAGCTGCACATACCTCCTCTTACTGTTCATGCTTTCCACTTTGGACCAGGAGTCGGTGTCTGGGTTGTAAACCTCCACGGTGCTGAGCCTCAGCTGGCCGTCGTAGCCGCCGATGGCGTAGAGCAGCCCGTTGACCACGGCCACGCCGACGCGGCTGCGCGCCGTGGCCATGGGCTGGCACTTCTCCCAGCGGTTGGCAATGGGGTCAAACACCTCCACCACGTTCAGAGAGTCGCCTGCATAGAAATTTGCTACTCAAATTAAAAGAGGGAGACCTGATGAAGCCCTGCGAGGGTGATGGGGGGGGTAAAGGGGTAAGGGGGTGGTGCTGTGCGCCTGAAGATGGGATTGGCGTGGGGAATTTGGCTGCTTTTCTTTGGGAAAATATCTGGGGGAAAAAGGAATGGGAACCTCGTGGGATTCAACAAGGTCAAGTGCAAAGTGCTGCACCTGGGTTGGGGCAAGAAATTCTTCCCTGTGAGGGAGGTGAGGT